GCACCGCCTCGCACCCAACGGCCCCGGCGCGCCGCCATGCCGGCCCAGAACACGGCGAGCAGCGGCGGTGAGAGCTCGGGGCGGCGGGGGGGGGGGGCGCGGGCAACCAGCCACCCGTGGGTAACCAACTACCCGTGCGCTCGTTGCAGAACCGCTGGGAGCGGAGATGGGGGAGCAGGCGGAGGCGGCGGTGATCACGCCGGCCATGCTGAAGGAGGAGGAGCAGCTGGAGGCGGCGGGGCTGGAGAAGGAGCGGCAGATGCTGGAGAGGGTGAGGGGGCGGCGAGGTGGGGCTGCCCCGCGGGGGGCCAGCCGTTGGGTCTGGGTCTGAGCGCCGTGCCCCCGCGCCGTTAGCCCCCGCGGGGGTTGTGGGCCGGGGCTGGGTGTCGTGCAGCGCCTTTGATTTCAAAACAAACAAACGTGAGGGGTTGTTAAAGTTCCGGGCGGTGGCTGTGATTCACAAGCGCCTTTGATCATCCACGGGAGCCTTCTCTTTTTTTGTTTGTTTGTTTTTGTTTTGTTTTGTTTTGTTTTGTTTTTGAAGGTTAACAGTGGACTCTTGCAGTCAGCAAGAAGCCTGCTGCATTTTATACGCATTTAAGTTTGCAATGAGAAGATTACCTCTTTACTTTTGTCGTTCTGAGCCTAAAAATCTAAGGTATCGTGCCTTTAAAGTAAGCTGATTTCAGAAAGGATAGTAAGTTCACATTCTTCTGAATTTCTGTCTGAAATAGTAAAGGCAAGATTTTTTTGTTTGCGTTTTCTGTATGTGTACATGACACTTCTTTTCCTCTTTTTTCCTCCTCATTTTATTAAAAAAAAACCCACCAAACAAACGACCTGATTAGACCTCTGCAGGACAATTCTATAAATACCATTTATCTTTTCCAGAAATAAGCCCAGTTATGAGTTTCTTTTGGTAGCAGGTGTAGTTTAGGCAGCTGCTGTCACTGGCAGCTCATTCTCTTTGCAGCGGTGTTTGAAGGCCGCAACTGAACTGCATCAAGCAAGTAGCCTAGCTTAAAAAGCCTAGCCAAAAAGGATTGGGTTTATGCCAGTCACTTTCCTGGTCTGTTCTCCTGCTCTTTCCCGCATGCAGTTGTTCAGGCACCCCGAAGTGGAGGGGAGTAGGAGCTGCTTGAGCTGCCGTTGCTGCCAGGAGAAATGTACATGAAATCATCCTGAGAGTTAATGTTTGGTTTGTGTACTTCTGTTTGCTTATGTTGCAGGAAATGTAGACTGCTTCAGGGAAATGATACGTCCCTAACACAAATGACATAATCGTTACTACATTTAATTTCTCTCTTGCTGTGAATGTTTTCAAATGTTGATATTAAGCATTGGTTGATATTAACCAGTCTGTTCTGGAGAGAGAACATGAAAACATGATGCTTCTAGACCTGTGCTGATACAAATTATCAAGGTATCAGAATGCTATGTAGGTATTGTATTTCAGGCATAAGGAAATACAAGCTTGAAAGAACTCTTCTCTTAAATGCTCTTCTGGGAATTGTATTCTAAAGAACTAACGCTATTACTCGAAATACTGGAGAAATCAGTGTGTTTGGGTTGGGTTTTTTTCCTGTCTTTCAGAGTGCTCTCATTTTCCCCTTTTCTGTTAATTACATAGCTTTGTATTCGGCCCACCCAAGACTGATGTCTTAAAAACTGAAGCATTATTCTAAGGGCATGAAAAATACAGTTTCTAAGGCCTGGAACTAATTTTAGTTACTCTTTATCTTTTCACTAAGAAAAGTTGTGATTTATAAAGGTATGTTTTTAGGCTGCTGCATTTTCTGATATTGTAGTTGGAAAATAATGCTTTATTTTCCCCGAAGTCTCATAATCTTCTTTCTTGCAAGCAATAAGTCATGATAGAGCCTGTCTGAACTTCTCTTCGGGTATTCCTTGATCAGACTTGGAACTAAAAATTTGGAGGCAATGCTTTTGGAGGGTAAGGAGGAAACCCCTGTAGAGAAAATTATCTTATTGTACTGGAAGTATTGAGAAAAGGACTTAGGATTTAATTTCTTTCACAACTAACCACTTCTGTAACAATGCTATAATGTGATAGGTCTGGGTTTTTTTGTGTTCTCTCCATTTTTTGAGAATTCACAGAGCTTACCTCTAACAAGTGTATCACTCCATTGTTCTGTGTGTTTCTATCATGCTTTCTCTGTGCAGTCTGGGACCAGTCAGACTAAGGGAAATAACCTGTGTTGTTAAACCCAGGTTTACTGGCGTCTGGGGGCAGTTGATGTTCTTGAAGCTTCAGGGTTTTTTATGCTTGTCACTTTGGTCCTTGTCACTTCGGCAAACCCCCTGCCAGGTGATTTGTACAGCAGTTCAACAAAAGAGTCATTTGTTCCTTCTGTGAGCTGAAGGCAAAATACCATTATGCACATATATAAGAATGTAAAGTGATGAAAGAGTGGCAAATTTTTGACCTTTTCAGTCAAAAAGGGGAAAAAAGCCCTCACTTTGTTGGCTTGAAAATTGAGGCAAAAGACAAAGTGGAGAAATCATAAGTTCAATGCTGTTCATCATCTCTGAGGTTTGGTTTTCCCTTGAAATTTTTGCAGTTGGTCAAGGGAACAGTCCTCCAGATTGACCCATTAATGGAATGATGCTGTGTTCACTTCAGTAAAGTGAGCAATAGCAATTTGCTGAATGAAGTAGCTTAGTTTTAATGATATTCTGTCTTGGCATTGCCATAAAGGGTTGATCTTTCTGAGCTCAGGTACTTTTCATCTGAAGGAAAAAACCTGGATTGGGGAGAGCAGAAGCAATAAAAACTGTATGGATAATCACAAGAAGGCAATCTCTTCCCCCAAAGAACTTGTTGAGATAGATCTTCCTCTCATAAAAGAATACAATGATAGCTACCTGATAAGAATGACATGGAGTACTGTTTGTGGAAAATAAAGGTCTGATTTCTGGGGGAGAGAAACAGGCTCCCCCTTTTCTATGTCACACAGTTTGTCCCATGATTCAGCTAATATCCTTTTTCCCCCCCTGCCTGTTAGCCTATCTAGTTTCAGAAGATTCCCTTGCCTTTCTGTCTTAGCGTGCCCTTCTCCCAGTGTTTCTTCTGAAAGCAATGGCATAGATAAGCATCTTGTAAAGCTCTGCATCTTGCCTTGCTGGGGTTTCTCTTGGAGATGCTAATTTATACCTTTTCACTTGTTTGATATCTCAATCTAACAGGCAATGTTAGGTGAATGCAGACGTGAATGCTTTTTCACTTTTTGGGGGAGTCTTGATCTAAGTTTTAAAGAGTAATTTGCAAACTTCTAAATGCACAGACTTGACTAATTCAACAGAAGTTACTTCTAAAAGCATGAGTGGGTTTTGTAATCAAAGCAAGAAGTTACTGTGTTCACATTGGGAATTGACTTGACCTTTGTGAATTAGGCATGATGGTTTTGTAGCTGTCTGACTATCCTGTTCATAATGAAAAACTGTACCTTTGTGCAAATGGCATGTGGAGGAGTCCCATCTAATACTTGGGAAACTGTGCTGAATTTTGCCAAGTAGGGTTGGGGTTGTTTTTCCTCCCAAACTTTGCAGGCTGCAAATAAATATCATTTTGCTCTAAATCTATAAATTGGAGTTGAGACACCTTTGAGGCCTTGAATACCTTGTGTTACTGCACTGCAAGTGTGTGTGTTGTAGAGCTCTGTTTACATATGCAAGTGAATGCAACCCTCAGTTATTTTCATCTTAAAGCACTTCATAGGTACATGTGAGTCCATACACTCATGAATCATAGATGTATAATGCACGTAGATGTATAACGACTTGAAGGGAAAGGTTGTGTGTGTGTGTGTGAGAGTTGCAGTTACCCTGCAGAAGAACCCTTCATTATATTAAAAGCATTAACTGAAGCATCTATAAAGACTTGATGTCTCTTTGTGTTGCCCAGGCTCGTGCTTCTTGGGACAGGGAGTCAAGTGAAATGCGCTATAAGAGGCTTCAACATTTGCTTGAAAAAAGCAACATCTATTCCAAATTCTTGCTAACCAAAATGGAACAGCAGCAACTAGAGGTAGGTGTATTCTTGTCTGCAGTGAGGATTCTTAAGATGGGCTGCCATCTGTTTGGTTGGGGTTTTTTTTGCCATCCGGCTGTTTGAACTCAAGTAAAAATGCTGTTAGGATTGCAATAACAACATGAAAATCTACTGGAACTACTGCCCAGGAATGAAGTGGTGCTTTACGTAATATTCAGAATTTGTTCTATAAATCCATAGATAAATCAGACTGGGAAGAGCATGAATTACAATTTAAAATCACAGTGTGAGGGTGGCGCCAATATCTTTACAGTTCTTTTGTTGGCCTGAGTGCTAGGAAGAGAAAATAAATATTTCAGATAAGAAAGTTTAAGGGAGCTAGAAAACCTGGAGGGAGGATAGAAGATGCAAAGAATTGACAAACAGGAAGTTGTGCAGCCTATTTGTGTTAATCGCTGGAGACTGAGGTGTGTCTTCAGGGTGCTAATGTAGGCCTCCATCAAACAAATTTGTAAATTACAGTCATCTGAGGTCATGATGTTCCCAAACATGAGCTTCCATAAAATGATTTGATGTGGTTTTGGTTTTTTTTTTTTGAATCCATGGGTTGCTGAGTTCATATCTAGCTTTATCTTGACTTTCTTACTGTACCTTTATGGACAAGCTTGTACGAGTTTATGCTTGAGAGAGAGGAAGAATCTTAGGAAAAGATTCAGGGCAACAACGTTCTCAGAAAAGTGATGCTGACAGACTGCAGGAACCTCCTTTCTAAAATACTTCTCTAGTTTAACTGTCAGCTTGAATTCATGGTTACTGCGTTGACAGAATGCGTCTTTCAGTACTAAGTCTTGATCCATCTGATCAATACCAAGGTTTCTTACCTATTTTTCCAGGGTCCTTTTACTTTCAGCAAGCAGAAATAGTAGATGGAATGAAAGTCTTAAATTCTTCAAGACATGAAAGCACTTCTTCCTTAAAGGCATTGTAGGCTGCTTACATTGCTTTCTGTTTCGCAATGAACACAAGTGGCAATATGTAGAAGTTGTCCCGGTTTCAGCTGGGATGTAGTTAGCTGTCTTCCTAGTAGCTGGTACAGTGTTATGTTTTGAGTTCAGTATGTGAAGAATGTCGATAACACTGATGTTTTCAGTTGTTGCTCAGTAGTGTTTAGACTAGAGTCAAGGATTTTTCAGCTTCTCATGCCCAGCCAGGGCACCTGACCCAAACTGGCCAACAGTGTATTCCAGACCATGGGACATCACATCGAGTTTAGGAACTGGGAAGTGGGGGACAGGGATTCGCCGCTTGGGGACTGGCTGGGTGTCGGTCGGCAGGTGGTGAGCAATTGCCCTGCGCATCATTTGTACATTTCAATCCTTTTATTACTACTGTTGTCATTTTATTAGTGTTATCATTATCATTATTAGTTTCTTCTTTTCTGTTCTATTAAATCGTTCTTATCTCAACCCAGGAGTTTTACTTCTTTTCCTGATTTTCTCCCCCATCCCACTGGATGGGGGGGGAGTGAGTGAGCGGCTGCGTGGTGCTTAGTTGCTGGCTGGGGTTAAACCACGACAAAGTTAAAGAGGAGCTGGATACGTGGAAAACTTACTGCACTAGATGTGATCTTAAGGAGTTTACAATTGGGAATATCTTTGTTGAAGTCTTTCTAAATAACTATATTCACTGACAAGGAATTCAGAGCAGTTGCACTTTCTTGTCCAAGCTTTGCTTTATCATTTTAAACTATGTCAGAATAGAGGCTTTTAGTGTGATTGCAAAAACGAAGTCTTTAGAGTACACAGAACTCTACATTACCAATGTAATCTGTGTTATCACTTCTATAATGGATGGTGCTCTTGTGGGTGTTACTGAAAGATAAGAAATGTGTGTGTGGGGGGGTGTTGTTCTTTTTTTTTTTTTTCTTTAGGAACAGAGGAGGAAAGAGAAGTTAGAAAAAAAGAGAGAGATGATGTTAAAATCTGCCAAGGTAAGATTAACTAGCTATTTTATGCAACTTTCTGAATAAAATTATATCAATTTTGATCAAGGTAGGTAAACTAACTAAGTTAGATTAGCTAGTATTTGACTTGCAGCATCTATCTAGTATATTTTAACCATAATAAGACTGTTTAAAAGTGCTTAAAAATTGTATACCATGACAGTCATCTTAAGGAGATGTTTCTGACTAATTTATACTAAAGCAAATGGTTTTAATTTGTCTTGAGGTTTTTTCTTTTAGTAATGATTGTTTATTCAGCCAAGAATAAGTAATAAAAAAAGATAAGCAGGAACTTTTTTTTGCTGTATTTTTAAAAGCTGCTTAATAGTATTTCAAGAAGCTTTCAAAGGCAATGGTTTGAGGCTGATTACATCTTTTTATCTGTGTCACGATAGAGATGCATAAGATGATGAACCTCATCCTATGTTTATTTTCTAGGGTCAAAATCCACTTGATGGCAAAGAGGAGAAATCAGGTAATGTATTAGGCTCTGCCTTCTGTAAGTACTGGTATTTTTAGTTTCTTTAATGTTTGATGTGTTGTATAAACTCAAATGTTACCTTATAGGTGCAAAAAAGAAGAGAGGGAGAGAAGATGGGACATACAACATCTCAGAAATTATGTCCAAAGAGGTAGGCCATAGCTATAAATAGGCTTGTCTGGATTTTTATAGCACAAATTTTAACTGGTGAGGCAATTGCTGTGTGACATCTGTATTTTAGAGCAATACGTTCTCGTACATTGCCATCAGAGATTATCAGCCAACAGTAGTCTGTCTGTAACATACAACTTTCTTCTAACAAAGATCTGTGTAACAAGCAGTGTTGTCAGACCTGTGGAATTCAGATGCTTTTTTTTTTTTTTTTTTTTTTCAAGTCTTTGAGGGAGGCAAGCTGTGAAGAGACTACATTGCCAGTTGAATTCTCAGTTACCCTTTGTAATTGGAATGTGTTCTCTGGTGTGTGCCCTTGTTTAGAGTTGCTTGTATGATCAATGATGTTGTATGGAAAGCTTTTTAAAGATCTGTCCAGATTCTTCACTTAAAAGATCTCATGAAATCCAAATTGTAGTAGCCTTTAAGGTTGAAAAGCACATAAGCATAGGTTTTTTTTTTTCTTTGTTTCCAGGAAATATTATCAGTGGCAAAAAAAAGTAAAGTGGAAAATCAGGTATGTTGGCACATGTTATTGCAGTTTAAGTGTGTTAAGCCCAAAGGGAGGGAGGGCTTTTTATACTTTATATCTTTAAGCTTTTCCTGTAAATGAACATCTCTGCTAGATACTAAAGTCCTGAATTAGAAGCTTAAAAAAGTGGTGCAAGTGAATGCACTTAAATACTTATTTTCAGAAATCCAAGGTGAAAACTTCTGACTTATTTTTTCTTAAACACTGAATTTCAACCTATTTATACTTTATAGAATGCCTGTAGTTTTGAAAATAAGGAAATAGGAATTTACTAAGAAATATTTGTGCTGGTATATAAGACCTTAATTCATTTTTAAGCATTCAAGCATGGAGATAGCAGGCGTGGTCTCTTCTGCTTCAGCTGTAGTTTAAGAGCTATGTGCACAGTATGACTTTCTTTCCAGCATTCTCTAGAATCTGCTTACAGAAGGGAAATAGCTTCATTAATTGCCAACCACTGTGAGGAAGGTTTTAAGTCTGCTTGCTTTTCTGGGTAGAAAATTGTAAGCCCAATAGCTTCAGTAGCTATCACTGGTTTTCAGGTCTAAAAGAGTAAAGAATGCATATAAGGCTTTGAAATTTTGCATGTTGATGTCTACTTATGTAGTACTATTAATCCTAAAAACAAATTCTACTCCTGAGTTAACAGTTACTCAAAATAAGACTTTGTGTCAGGTGCTGGCTTACTTCACTGAACATTAAGACTGGTGTAAATTGGGCAAAAGTATGTCTTAGCTGGGCTTTGATGTGCATTCCGCTTGTCATGTGTTCCTTGAACTTCCCTCTATAGGATGAAAGCTCTTCTGACAACCTGTGTCCAGAAGACCTGCAGAAAAACGGAGACTCAAATAGTGTCATTAAGGATAGATTATGTCAAGCTGTACGACACAGTGCCAAGCAATTCCTTGATCCAATACGGAGATTTAATGGACAACCAGTGCCTTTTCAGCAGCCGAAGATTTTTACTGGCGGTGTAATGAGGTGGTACCAAGTGGAAGGCATGGAGTGGCTAAGGGTATGGAGCAATTGTTGATGAAATTGAACATGTTGCTGATTGGAAACAGAAATGGAGGGGAAAGAGACACTAGAAGTCTCTGGTCGTAGTTGGTACAGGGAAGGTGAAGGATTGAGACAGTTCTTTTAAAGATTTCTCATGATACAAGAGTCTGGTGTTACAAAAAAGTTGTCAAGCAGCAGATATAATGTTTCAGTGTGGGGAGGGTATTTGTGTTTGTACAAGTTTCCTTAGACTTTCTCGTTGGTGTTCTCCATCTTCCCTTTCTCCACCTATTTTCTTGTTCAACTCGACTTTCTTTTCAGCCTCTCCTTACAAATACTTTGTGAAAGCAGGAGGACTATGCACACTACTAAGGGACAGTCTTACTATTTTTCTCTCCAGGGCTTGAATACCTAGCCCATAGGTATTTAAAGACCTACTACCTTGCAGACCTGACACAGCTGAGTGTTGCATTCTCTGCATCTTTGAGTCTAACTAGTAATATTAACACAGTGTTTTAAAAATGTTTGTCTTCAGCCTGTGAAATCAAAAACTAAAGAAACTTGGTATAAAAATTGACCACATACATACTCAACTTCTACCCATTTTTTTCCTTGCAAGCCAAGTTAGAACAACTTTGCTTTTTAATTATCAGTGCCAGACAGGACTAATTTTCATTCTGCTGCTGATCTTGTATTTCCCTTAGTTTTTTTCATTTTCTTTCCTTCCCCACAAGCATATGTATCCTGTTTTGATAGGCTTAGACTGATCTCACAAGTGAGTGCCACTAAACTGGCTCACTCTCTTCTGTCACTAGGAAGTGCCTAGGGAAGGCAGGTCTCTTCTTGGGGGAGGGAACAGCTTCCCTAGTTAGGCCCTCAGTTATAATAACCTTTTTTATGAAACTTTGAGTAGTGAATAGAGTAGCCAAAGAATGCTTCTGTGTCTTCCTTTCTGCTCTTTTATGAGAGGTTGCTCTGTCGCTTGTCGGAACAGGCAATGTCTGCACAAAGAACTTTGGCCGGAGCAGGTGCCTGTGTTGGTACCTTTTTCCTATGGTAAAGTAGCTATGCCTACAGAAGCTACTTGAATAGATAAAACTGAAACATCAGCACAATAACTTGATCTTTTAGAGGGAGAAGCTAAGGGAATTCTTTGGAGCTGGTATGAGTAAAAATTTGGATAGTGTGAGCTGTACTCGCAGTTGAAGTGCCTTTTGATACAACACTAATTTACATCCTTTCCTTTGATACTGTTCTGGGTTTTTGGGGCACTTAATTGGTAGAAACACGTACACCTACATATGAATGTCTGGGGCTTACAAGATGCTTGTATTTGATTTTCTCCATGATGAAAATATTCTCATGTGTAATATAAAATGTGCCTAGTAGAGAGTTTCCACACATGTTACATTCCTAAAGATGTCTGTTATTCCTAAGGTGTCTTGGTTATTTTGCATTGACGTTTCTTTTTCTGTACGTAGATGCTTTGGGAAAATGGTATCAATGGCATTTTAGCTGATGAAATGGGGTTGGGGAAGACGATCCAGTGTATTGCAACAATAGCACTGATGGTGGAGCGAGGAGTCCCAGGTCCATTCTTAGTATGTGGTCCTTTGTCTACTCTTCCAAATTGGATGTCTGAATTCAGGAGGTTTACTCCAGAGGTAAAAGAAGTGAAGATTTTTCTTTTTCTTCCTTAGGTTTAAAAGAACAAATTATTTAATTCTTACTCTTAATTCTTTGCCTTGAAACTTTCTCTATATAGAACATCAGTTGAATTGTAGTTGTTTGTGTGGTTACTACACACTGTGCCATGTCTTGCTATGTATTTACAGCCTTCTTGTAACAGAGCTAATTATCTCTACTGTCTTCTGTTTAAGTTTAAATGAGCTTAGTTCACCTGGCTTCTAAACCTCTCTCTTTCAGATTCCACTAATGCTCTATCATGGAGCTCAGCAGGAACGTCGTAAACTGGTTCGTAAAATTCACGCGCGGCAAGGATCATTGCAAATCCATCCTGTGGTCATTACTTCCTTTGAAATAGCAATGCGAGACAGAAATGCCCTGCAGGTACCTAAATTCTCCTGAAAGCCCTAGGATGGGTGAAATGCCTCATCACTAATAACAATGCTTTTGAATACAGTAAAAAACCCCTGCATGCTGCCTGTACTAATGTCATACTGTAGCATTTATATTGGCATTCACTTCTGTTTCCTTGGGAGCAGTGGCTCTGGAATCTTACACTTAAGAAGTTCTTCAAACAGAGCACTATCCAAAAAGTGAAGTAAGCAGATAGTTACAGCATATCTGCTCTCTTCATTACCTCTATGTAGGTGATAGTGAGGGAGGCTTGGAGTAAAAGCTATACTTAGTGTATAAATATCATGGTTAACATCAGAATGGTTGTTTAAGCGAGATGAGTTTCTTTGGAGAAGTTTTATTGTAATCACCTAAGCTTTCTAAATGCAGTCACCATGAAGCACGTATATGGCATTAACTGGACTCGGCTCTTCTAGTCTGGCAAAGTGAGAAACAACAGTAAATAGAATCTTTATAACAGGCCGTATCACAGTCTTATTAGTGCTGCTTCTCTCATCTGGCACATGTTTTGGTGGAGTAAAGCTAAGATTTACTGAAATTGCCTTTCTTTTTGCAGCACTGCTTCTGGAAATACCTGATAGTAGATGAAGGTCACAGGATTAAAAATATGAACTGCCGCCTTATCAGAGAATTGAAGCGATTTAATGCAGACAATAAACTCCTGTTGACTGGTACTCCCCTGCAAAACAACTTGGCAGAGCTTTGGTCATTGCTTAACTTCCTTTTGCCAGATGTATTTGATGATTTGAAAAGGTAGGTTGCAATCTGATGGTGAAAACTACTCCCCTTTGTTCTGTTTGGGCATTATTGTGACTTTAATTATTAAACTTGTATCAGCATGCAAAGAGCTATTTTGTGGTATGGTTGTAATTTGGTATGATAATTTGGTGGCAAAGGCTTTGAAATGTGTCTTGCCTTCACACTTGCTTGTTTCAGAAATGAAGGAAGTAATTGTTAGCTAATTATTAGCTCTGTGGATAGTGGAAGCTCAACTCTGAGCTAAGACATGAGCATCTGGGGGGAAGAGATGTTTGTCTAATCGTAAGTGCCTGGTGCTGCTTGAGATTCTCTGAGGTGCTGGAGAAAGCTGTTTGAGGCTGGCAGACATGGGACCCGTGGGAGACAGATCCTTTTCTGAAGCAGTAGGAGGTTAGGTGGAAGAACATTGCCAAAATGTTAGACTAATACTGGAAAAAGACATAGGCAAGAGTGAGTATAATAGATCCTAGTGAATATTTCAACTAGTACAAATATTTTTACCAATCACTTAAAACCTCAAGCATCTGAATTGACAGGTATATTTCAGAAATACCTCCTGTTCACCCTCTATTCATGATGAATATTAGTGCTTTGTTTTTCTTAAATCACAGTATAGGTGAAGAATGGTATACTTAAATAATGAAGAATAATAGCTATGAAGTAAGCTATTACTTTTTTTTTGCTTTGTTTTTATAGCTTTGAATCCTGGTTTGATATTACCAGCATTACAGAAACTGCTGAAGATATTATTGCTAAAGAAAGGGAGCAAAACATCTTGCATATGCTGCATCAGGTTTTCACTTATTCTTTGTGTTGTATTTTTCATGGTTTTTTTTCTAACATTGACCATTGTTATTAAATGTGTCAAAATCTTGTTTGTGGAGCTGAATTCTGGGCCTGAGGCTTTTATTATGGCACTTCTGGACTTCCTTAGACTTGTGGGTTTTTTCAGTCTTTACAGTACTTAAAAATGCTGGAAAGGAACAATATACCTCTTTGACTCATTTTTATTCTTGGAACTGAATTGAGTTTAGTCAAACTTAATTGCAGTTGCTTGCTTCTGTTTGCCAAAAGATTTAATTGGTATGTTTATTTTGTTGAAAGAGAACGTTGAGGGAATTCATGTAACTTTTAGGTGTTGAACAGAATACCTTTTGACAAACTAGTTGTATAACGTAGCTGTCTTCAAAACCAAACTAACACTCAAAACTTTTTTTAAGGGGGGGGTGTGTGGAAATAAATGCTTACAGAACTATCATTTTCTCATCATAAGCTGATGGTGAGCGATAAAAATTTTATCTTCTAGATATAATTGTCGATGACATTTTATTATTTATTTCAGTTAAAGGTTTGGGGCTTTCCCAGAATGACTTGATTTAAGAAATTTAACAATTAAAATCAGCTGTTTCACAATAAAAATACTTTCGGTTAATGAAAATTATTTGAAAGGCCTGTAATGTAGTTACTACTGCACCCTTATTAAACACTCTAAAATATTTCAAATGTCAATGGATGTGTTATTTGAACACATGTATTAACAGCATGTGTATAGAAGTTTTGGGTAGGCATCCATATTAAAAAATGAAATATGGAACTCTGAAAATTAACTCTTTTGCTTTAAATTGTCAAAATAGCATTATATCACTAGACTGGTTGGGGGTGGGGGATGCTGGTTGGGGTTTTTGTTTTTTTAAACTAGCCATGTTGAGAGCTTTGAGTCATTGTAACACATCTGCTCAACATTTCAGATTCTGACACCTTTTCTACTGAGAAGACTGAAATCTGATGTTGCTCTTGAGGTTCCTCCTAAACGAGAAGTTGTGGTATATGCACCGCTGGCAAAGAAGCAAGAAACTTTCTATACTGCCATTGTAAATCGCACCATTAGGAAACTGCTTGGAAATAATGAGGTATCTACTGATGTGAATGTTAGAAATGTGCTTGCTATTAATGGTTTATAGGGAAAAACACATTGGTATTGCTTCATTACCATTGTAACTAAACCCACTTTTTGCTCAAATTTTAGTTGGATCCTTTTGTTATCTATTTCACTGGTGGTTATTGTGAGTGGCCTCAGTGGGCACAGAACTAATACAATATGAGTGTAAATATGTTCTTGATTACTTGTAGCTTGGGGGAAAAAGATGACAATTTTCATAGAGTTAACAGTTTCTGCTGTAAAATCAGTGAGGTGCTAATGCAGCTTTTAAAAATCAAGCAGAAGCTTTCAAAATCTACAATTATAGACCTTTAAAGTTTGGGCTGCATTTTCTACTTAGTAAAACTTAGAGCTGCTGAGTCTAAGTAAATATTGCATGATGAATATCACTGAGACCACTTTTCAGTATTGAGAATTCTTGGGTCAACATAGGCCTTTGAATCTGAAGCTATCTGCTGTTGATGGCAATGTTATCATTTCCCACAGGAAGAAGTAGTTGAGTTGAGTCCTACAGGCCGACCAAAACGCCGTAGCCGAAAACTGGTTGATTATTGTGAAGAACATAATGGTTCATCTGATGACTTGGAAAAATTGATCAGCAAAATGCAAGAGGAAGTAGAAAAAGAGAGGTGCCTGCCCTAAAAAATTCCCCCTCTTTTTTTTTAATTATACTGAATATCTCCATCTTGGATTGCTTCCAGAGCTTTGCTTATTCAGATTGATCAAGAAGAATGGCATTTCGTAATTCACTATCCTTGTAGCTTTATGATTTGTTTCTTTGCTTTTACCTAATATTTGCTGGGCCATGATAGCAATGATTAGGTTGTACTGTCACTCACTGACTCATTAGAGTTATAGTTAACTACAAGACAATTACTCCTAGACCTGTGGCCCTTGCAGGATCTAGCAATAAAATTGCTTTTTGAGTCCCTGTGTTCATTAGTCACAATCTTAGGTAGCTCTTGTGACGATAGTGCTATTGATAATCCATAAAGAGCTAAAATGTCCTAGTGTGAAATGTAATTCCTTTGGACTGTTAAAACATTTTGGTAGTGAAGAGCTGTGGTTTCACCAAAGCCTCAAGGTCTAAGATGGTGTTGGGTGCCAGCCATGGAAGAACTGCTTCATCTTAGTTATTTGGTAGTTGAATTTCATTGTAATAGCTTAGGTCCCGGCTACAGCTAGCAATGAGGACAAAGAGCTTGGCTTATTGCTAGGTTTTGCAAGGTTCAGGTAAATTTTTTGTCTTCAATGTCCAGTTACCTTCAAAGGTATATCTTCCACTGGCTCAAAGACAGGACAAGGGATAATGCTGGTGTGCTAACTACAGTTAACTCCTAGGTTTTTGTGGAATTACTTGGGAATACTTGAAAGCAAAGTTTAGGCTCAAGACTGGAGAAAAGGGAGGAGTAGTTTTCTTGCTAAATTTTGTAAAATGTGTAGGCTTAAGCTGAGGCCTGGAATCCAAATGGCCAGCATGGTTATTGCTGTTTTGGTGACAGGTATTGGTCACTTTCTGGTGAATAAAATCAGAGTTGAGATTCAGGACTGAGGGAGCTGAGGAATCATGTTCATTCCTGGGTTTGGCAAGGTCTATTGGTGGCTCTAAATGGGTTGGAAGTCCCTTGGGCATAAGGAAAAGCAGGTTAATCTTCAGGGTTGAAATGTATTTATCTTGCTAGATTTTTATTGTAGTTCAGTGTACTTTGCAGGAACAGACACTTAAATATATGTTTGTATTAGTTTTATGGTGTGCATGGATCTCTTCTTTTGGAGGCAGTACTTAGATGTGGAAGAGCTAAATAGCTGTATTTGTTGTGAATCCTGCAATGTGCACGTGTGGCTGAAATAGGATAGGCAGAGAGTTGATTTTGGAATAGCTTATGTATTGTTCTGCAGGAGATATGACCATTTGTTCTAGACAGGGCTTGTTCCTGTTCCCTTTTCTGCTGGGTGACTGCACAAGTTGTTTTTTCTGCTTCTGATTACTCCTGACTGTACTGTCCTTTCGTGTATTAAACGAATAATGGCAAACCCTTGTGCCTTTGGTGCCAAGTGTGGCACTAAAAGAAGTTTCATCTGGTAATAGTTTTACTAACTATGAGGGATTTTGAGGACATTTGACACAGCATGTGAATCCATTGCTTGATTTTGGTTTTATTGGTTTTTTTTCTCTTCAGTATCTGTAATGTAATACGGTGATGCTTTCTGTACTAATAAGATGACATATTTTTTCAAGGCCAGTGGTAGATGTGAGCATTCCCATGGATTCAGAGGTGAACCTTAAACTGCAGAATATTATGATGTTACTGAGGAAGTGTTGTAATCATCCCTATCTTATTGAATATCCATTGGACCCTGCTACACAACAATTCAAGGTATTGAATATTTTAAAGGATTATGAGAAAAATTATTCCAGGCATTAAAAAGCAATAGACTGTGAGCTAACGTCAGTAAAGAATGACCATTTCAATGTATTTGACATATGCCTCCCCATTGAATTCCAGCAGTGTACTGAATCATTCTTTGAAGCTTCCTACAGCAGCAGTTGTGGAGACCAGTTCAGCCCTCTGTGCTCATTTAGCCTTTGCATAGTGATGCCATAGTGTTCATTACAGCAGCGCTCATCTGCTGGGAGCAAAGTTACCAAATTCAAACAGTAGCTGGGTTCCGTTGACTCAGGGTGTTTTAGGATCTGCCTCCAGCTCTCCTCACAAAGGTTAATTTTTAAAACAAAAAATGCTGACCTTGTAAACCGTTCATGACATAAATTGTACACGCTGCAGGAGGTTGCGGTGGTAACTTAAGTGTGAGGTGTTGAAGGGCTGAACCAAGTACAACAGAGTCTGCTTAGGGCACATAGCATCCTTTCTCCTCCTCAAAAGGGAAAAAAATCCAAATTATATCACAAAGGCCAGCTGGTATTTTAATCTACACAAAGCAGTGGGCAATATAGGACAGAGTGAAGTAATTTGAATTGAAAGAATCTTGAACAACTGGAAGCTGCTTGCACATTCTAAATGTAGGTTTGGGGGCATGTGTAGTCATGTTTCCTGTTCAATGAGTGATAACAGATTCAGCTGCAGTCAAGAGCAAGCTGTTGAAGTTTATCAATGTAAAGTCAGTGCATAAAAAGCAGATAGCCCAGTCTGGGTGATGAGGGAAAATTAGTTAATGTGTAGAAGATGCAGACTGACAGTTGACACCACTTGCAGGAGCTAGTACCTGCTCAGAAAAATGGATTAGAAATTATCAAGGTGGCTGCTGTATGGCTCAGACCTGAGAAGCTTCTATATCCCTGCTCTTAGCCCATAGCAAGAATTAGATCTAACAAACTCTCTTGAGCAAAACAGGAGTCTAAGGTAGCAGTGTGAAAACTTGTTCTATTAACTTTTGTCACTTGGCTCATGTGTAGTAACATGTTCAGCAGTGCTTCCTTATATCCAGTAGGTGGAAGCCTTGTGCATTAATTACAAGCTGGGAAAGAAACAACAGTGCTTTTCCATGTGGAAAAATTAAAATCATCAGGGTTTCTCCTTCCAGAAATGGGATGAAAACTAATTAGTTTTTGTAAAAATTATTTGGGCATATGAAATGGCAGGGTTTGATTTAGTTTAATCATGATTTAGCTGGTTCAATGTAGTTTGCTGAAATTCGCGTTGCTTCCAATCTTATAGCTTTTAGTTAAAAAGATGGTACAAGGTTGTTTCTGTGAGAAGCTTTCAGACAGCTTTTGTTGGTGCTTCTGAATCAGGGAAACCTTTGGTATCCTTCCCTCCTAATGTATGATCCCCTTTCCCCTCTTCCAAGGTTGATGAAGATCTAGTAAAGAATTCAGGCAAGTTTCTACTCTTGGACAGAATGCTTCCAGAACTGAAAAAGAGAGGGCATAAGGTAAAGCTAATGATTTGAGGGGTGGGGGGGCATAGTTGTCTCCTTATGACCAAAAAATGGTATTAAGGAATCTTCCTGGTTTTGTAGGTCTTGTTGTTCTCGCAAATGACTATGATGCTTGATATTTTGATGGATTACTGCTATCTGAGAGACTTCAAATTTAGTCGATTGGATGGCTCTATGTCCTACTCAGACAGAGAAGAAAATGTAAGTAGATGTACATGCCCTTTGAGCCTGTTAGCAAATTCTTCTTGTTCCTGTGACACTGGAATGTGATTTCACACAGCATTTAGCCTTTAATAGGGAAAAGTCATCTATGTTGAAAACTGACATCCTTGCTGCTGCTTTTAATATCTGCAGCTCGGAAATACTGAAGCAATGAAATGTGTTACTAACCATTATCTTGGGGTATGCCTAGAATGATGGGTGTTTATGTACTCTGTTGCCCAAATGTGAAGTATGTAACGCATCTATATTGTGGCAGATGCTAATCTCAGTTTTACCCCTGCACATATTGTTTCCTAGTATCCAGGATGCGATGCCAGCATCTATGGCAGCATGCTGCAAGTCTAATGCCAAATAAAGTAGATTTCCAGGAAACGAGGTTTTGTACCTAGTGGGACACCTGTAACTACAGCCTGAAATTGCATGTGGATTTGTTCCAGTGCAATCCTTTGTTCTTGCATACTTGTAGTGGTTTCAAATAACCACAGAATGCCTTACTACTGAGGCACATATTTATCATTAAGTGCAGCCATGCAGAGTGGTTCTGGAAAACCACCTCTGAGGGTTTGCAGGGATGAACAAGAGCAATGCATATATGGAAGAAGTACACAGGATGTATCTAGGGGGGTATGCTGCAATTGCCATCTGGTCTCCAAAGTATGCACTGGTGTTTGTGAAGATACGGAAAAACAGTGGCAGATGACAGATCATCGAGCTCAAACTGTGCTTCCCTTTGCCCCATTTTTTTTCTGTGCCACAGTGTGGCTGAGGAAAACCAAACCCCTGAACACTTAAGTTGCTACTATTAGAGCTGATTCTTAAAGAGGAAAGGCTAATTAGCAATGTGTCAGCAAGCTATAGTGACTTTTATTAAGCTGGTAAAATTTTGTACTGCTGGCTTGTGGGGATTTTAAAGAGTTGATTGTGTGCCTACTACAGTGTGGTATGGGTGCAGATAAGAGAAATCTTCCAGGTCACCAGTCTAAGTCCAGCAGGGCTCTTCCCAGCTCCATGATTTGCTGCAGCTGCTGCAGATGCTGATGTCCAGGAGACCCCAGAGGATATGGGGCTTTTAGAGAGCTTGGTTAGCTGCTTCCACCTGGTAGTGGGGTGATGGTTTATTTTTCTTTGCTGTGATCGAAGTCCTGAAAATTACTATATACTTGCAGTTTTCTACCAGCATGTGGGTGGTCGGACTAAGTAGACTAGGTTTTGACTGGTGTTGCAGACCTAGTAGGAGCTGTGCTGACACTTGGAAACATTTTGCAGTGAAAATGGGCTAGATGCTGAGTAGTAGGCCAGAAAGTTACTCTTAATTTTGAAGTAAGAGGAGGTATACAGGGTGGCTGGAAGTTACAGTCAAGTTGGCATCAATATTTTAGATTGTTGCTTGTGTCAAGAAGTAGGTATGTTTTTAGGCTCTGCCAGCTTGGACTGTGCTCACCTTCTTCATCACTGGATGGTAGGTTATGTGGAGGTGAATGTGATCTGGACCATACCTCACTATAGTCACCTCCACTTTGTGTGTTAGGCAACTCATTGACTGGAATCATCAGATAAGAAAATACAGTTGCTTCACTTCTTGGTCTTGTCCTGTCCCAACTGCATGCAGTGTTTCTTAAGGCCTTAGTTTGGCCTCTGACAGCATGTGGTGTATTTTCTATGTTCATCTTTTTAAACACAGGTCTGTCAAAATAAAACATTAGCTACATTGTGTTTGATCCATCTGCTGTTTTTTAATAGATGAATTCTTTTCCAGATGCATCAATTCAATACTGACCCTGAAGTCTTCCTGTTCTTAGTGAGTACAAGAGCTGGTGGCTTGGGCATTAACTTAACTGCGGCAGACACAGTTATCATATACGATAGTGACTGGGTATGTTGACAGACTGTTAACCTAGTGATATGTGTCCTAAAATGCTTTCTCTGTTGCTGCTTTGATAATAATTTACTAACCCATTATGGTATAGACAGTTTCTGTAACTTTAATGGGGTGTTACATGAAGATAATACTAAGCAGTGTATGCAAACATGTTATATATGAAGTATGCAGCCTCATTTGAAAAGTCCTAGCTTATTGAATACAACATTAAAGTTGATTTCCAAAACTAGCCTATTTGCCCCTGAGTTACACCAAAAGCAGGAGGGTTTTTCTGTTCCTGTTGAAGATACATTTCCTTCTTCCAATTTATTATTTAAGTTTAAATGTAGCCAGACCTTCTACAGGTTCCCTGTTTCCAACAGCTGCCATGTTAGTACCAGCCCCTTGAATCTCCTGTGACTTGCCACATGTGTTTTAGCTAGCTAGGATTCTGCTGCTCCTGTGAACCTGGAGGCTGGGAAGAAGAGAGGTATGTAAGGAAATGACTGAAGACCTCTGCATCTTCACTTTATTTTAATGGACACCTCTGGTGTTTGCATGACTATTCAGCTTCAGGAGAGCTAAAGCAGCTTCAGAAATGGCTGAAAACTTTGTTAATCCTTTTTCTTATCTTCCAACAAAAAAACCCCACAAACCTACAACCAACACCCTCAGATAAATTTGTGATACAAAACATGTCCATCTGTTGAAAACTGCAGCACACAGTGCAGAAGCAATCTGAGCTAGTTGGGTTACTCTGGCAAGAGATGTAGAGTTCTATTATACCATGGCTGCCTTGCTTACTGCTGCCACTCTGACTCTCAGAGCTCACTATTGAAAACACTGCCTGTGGTACGTGTCTTAAGTGGTTAATGGTGTAGCCAACTTGTTTTTTTTTCTGCTCAGAACCCCCAGTCGGACTTGCAGGCTCAAGACAGGTGTCACAGAATTGGCCAGACAAAGCCGGTGGTTGTTTATCGTCTTGTGACAGCAAATACTATTGACCAGAAGATTGTGGAGAGAGCTGCTGCCAAGAGGAAGCTGGAGAAGCTGATTATCCACAAAAGTTAGTATCTTTCTCTTATGACTTCCTGTAAGCATGTGCTACTTCTTTAAATCTCAAGAGAACTCTTACTGCTCTGTTTTGTGACTGCTTAGTATTTTTTCTTAAATGCAAAAAGCTTCATCCTCTTAACAAGTGCCTATATAAGTATTACTTTTCAAAATGCATTGTTAGACACATTGTAGATAACTTCTGCAGCAAATTAAAGGAAAGCGCTTCTAGTATTTCTGGAATCACCATGTTATGACTACTGCTTTACTAGTAGGTAAGGAAAAAAAGACAGGTGATGGGACACTGAGCATACATGGAAGAAATATAGATAAAACCAGGCAATAAGAGAGTAGAGCTCTGGGCTTGTTGGCAGCTTGTCAGCAAGATTATAGTTTGTCTGACCCAAATGTTTTTGAACTTTTAGCATTAAAAATGCTGGGGGTAGATGACAAGTCTGAGTTGATTATCTTTTTAAAATCAAATGAAATGAACCAGAATATAAATGGAAAAGCAGATTAAAAAAATTCTTACTGGTTGCAGTTTAATTTATAACAATTCCTGATAATTAATTTATAACGATTTGGAGCAATATGCCTACTTAATGACATCTAGAGCAGTGTTATATGATGTGAGGTTTAGCAATAGATTTTTTTTTTCTAGTTGCAGTGGCAAACTTGCTTGAGTAGGGAGTGTTCCTATTAAAGTTGGTAAAATGGGTAGAGAACACAGAAAGTTGGTTTCTGTGGGATTCCTACTAAACTTGGTTGAGATTGCAAATCCTACAGCTGTAATATCACTGTAAAAAATTTCAGCATCCTGTTTGCATCTGTCCTTCTGAATTTAAGAACAGTATGTTATAACCATAGTAGAATAGTCCTGTTTGAACAATTAACCAGTGCTGAATGGAACAATAGTCTTTGATTTTTATGTGCAGAACAGTGGTGATTCTTGTTGTATTCTTGATTATATAGCTGGTCATACTCAAAAGTCTTTAGAAAGTGACTGGATTGAAGTGTCTCTTTTGGGGGTAATATTTTCTTGTTTGGGTCATATAGGAATCCTGCTTTGCTTCTGTAGCTTATTCTGTTTGTGATATTTGGACAGTAGCTCCCTATTGCATTTTCCAAACACTAAGCTCACTTGAAAAATACAATTCTTGAAACTTCATATGGGCTTCTGACAATAATTAGCCTTATATTAAACTTTAAAGGAGGTTGGGAACTTCTCATAGTATATTAAGGGGGAGTGGGGAGGAACCCAAAACATTTTCCTGAAGGCATAAAGGGCCAGAAAGACCATACCTGTACTGTCTACTGCACAGTGCACTGCTTGTCAAGCCTAAGTTGTGGTATGCCTCTGGTTTTGGATGATCTTAGCTAATCCTTGTTAGATGCTTCCTTTATCCTAGCTTTAGGCCTTTTCTTTGTAATTTGATTGCAACCATTGTCTTGGTGTGACTGCTGTCTGACTCTTTGTAGGCACGTTAGTGACCAATTTAAGTAAGAAAAATTTGGGGTTTAATGATTTGATTATGGTCCAACCTGAAGTTAAAACCAAAGTGGCAAGATAAGCGCACAAAACAGAATGGGCTCTAATAGTGGATGACTGCAATATACTAAAAGTAGCAATGGGAACTGGGACTAGTTATACTGGAAGGAAGCTAAGTGTCACGTTGGGTCATGCAATAAGTTGAGTATTCATCTTGGTAACTATTGGTGAATCATATCAAAATCTTTGCAGCTTAGGTAGGGGTATCCCCTCCAGGAACCTTTGGATCCACTGTGTAAATGTAAAAGTGATGTAATAGATCCTGTTATTTTTAATATCTAAAAAGTGTTGGAACTTTGGAGGAGTGAATGAGGAAGGGATATCACAAAGCTTACTTAAGTCAGGCCTTTCAGGTGTCTAACCATGTAGGGCGTGTACAGTACAAGTACTGGAGCTTAAGAACTGAAATTTGTTGCAAAACAGAATGCTTTTTTGGCCTCAGCACCAGGTTACTCTTTCCATCTTGTGCTTCTGTTTTATTGAAGAAAGTTGCCTAGGAAACTGAGAACCAGCATGATTTTAGTTAAATTAGTAGATGTCAAAGAGGAAGTGATGGACAAACTTCTATTTAAAATGTTAAGTGCTTGATAGGGTCTTCTGTATTTTTCTCTGTGTCACTATTATTGCAACCCAAGACCTGTATAGCACTAATTCAATGCCATATAGTTTGTGAAACTGAAAACTAAAACGGAGAGAGTGCGTCACTAATAATGCACAACAGGACCTGGATCCTGTGTGTCACAGCAGGAGATGTTAACAGAGCGGGGCAGAGGGGAAGAATCCTATAGCTCAAACTCCTCTGGAACTTGGATCTGACTTGCAGTTCACAGATGAACAGCCAGTCATTGGAGGGAGATGGGAAAAGGTGTGGGGAGGACTTCTGAAACCAAGATGTAGGAAAGAACAGCAGTGAGTGTGATGAAAGGGATCAATGAAGACTCATTAATAAAATGGGTACGTGTGTTGATAAAAACTGAAGAAACTTGGCACAGAGCAGTAAGCCGTGGCTGTCTCATTGAAATGCGCAAGGCTGAGCTTGACTTCATCCATGCTTGGCTTTAGTTAAGTAATAATCCTGTATAGGTTTTTTTTTATATTTGGGCTGACATCCAGATTTGTGTGTAGATAGGCGTTAGCATAGTCTTTTCAAGAAACCAACCTGTGTCAGATATATTAACTTTGTCATGTCTGCCTAGTCCCTTAAACTGGGAGCTCTGCAAACCACACATCTTTCCTGTATTTCCTACCTTGTGGTTAATACTGCTTACTTTGTTTCAACCAGCTTACAATACAAAGGGAGCAAACTTCAGCATCCACCATCTAACTTTATTTACAATGTTTTTACTGTAAGTAGAACTAATGGCTTTTCTGCTCTGTGTGTGTGTGTGTGCATGTTGAATTGGTGTTTCAATCAGTTCTTCTGCATACTACAGCTAGAAGGTGAAAGGCCTGCATGTAAACTCTTAATGTACCTCTGACTTTTTTCACCAGTTAGGCTATTAGCGTAAGGTGTGTTTACCTGAGGGCTAAGACAATGAAACATAGCCACTAGTTTTGATGTGCAAGAGTAATTTGTTTGATATGTGCATCCAGCATTGATTTAACAATTTGCAGAAATTGTTCCTGTCTCTGTGTACTTTCTTAAAACTTCTCCTTTCTACAGATCAGTTTAAAGGTGGCAAATCTGGTCTAGCACAGTCAAAGAGCTGCCTGGACCCTCAGGAATTAATAGAATTACTGAAATCCAGAGACTATGAGAGGTATGCAGGTTTCATATTTTTCTTGGGCCGTGAGTTTGTAACTTGCAGCTTGCAAGCAGCTGTCAGTAGCTCTCTTGTCTTATTAAGTGGTATGTGGATCTTCATAGTGGAAAGAATGTCCTAGGGATTCTGCTGTGTGGGAAAACTGACTTCTATGCAGTACTAACTGTAACGTGCTTTTATCTGTATTGAGAGATTATTTCTTCCTCAACAGGGAGGTTAAAGGATCTAAAGAAAAAGTAATCAGTGATAAAGATCTAGAGTTACTCTTGGACAGAAGTGATCTTATTGGTAAGTCAGTTTTATCTGTTTGTTTGTTTTTTTCTCTTCAACAGTAAATTCATGTTTTGTATGAGTCTTTACATGTAGAAAGCTGCCATAGCTTCACTTTCCTACAGCTGTGTTGTACATCTGAAGAAGGACCTTTTGGTCTCTTTCCTGACATTTCCAACAGGATTTGCTAAAGAAGAAATAAGAGAACTTAAAAAAAAAAGTATTCTAGAAAACCACATTCACGCATAGTGTGCCCTGAGCATACTGTGAACAAAAAGCATAGATTAGGAGGTGTTCTGCAAGCAACTTCCCCTGTAAGTTGCTGTAATTGATAAAAATAGAAATTATTCTCAGAAAATACTTATTTTGGCAAACTTGTTTAAAAACCTATTTTGATACTATCATAATTCAAAATGTAGTCTAACATTGGGGGGGGAGGGGGATTGAGCTTTTCAGAGTTACCATGGCTTGTCAGAGGATTAAATGTTTTAAAAAAAATAAAATTTGTGAGGTTGTCTGCAAATTCTAGTGCTTGATCCAGCCAAGATATTATAAAAGAACTTTTCTGAGAAAGGAAAAAATTATTGTTGAATTTGTCTAAACAATAGATTCAGTATGCTTTGCTACCTTCAGCATCTTTAGTAGAGATAAACCTCAAAGCATAGATACAGAAAAAATTGGTCATTACAGAATTTAGAAGTAAAAATGATAGCTAGCCTTAAATAAGTGTGATATGTATAGTCCAAGTAAAATAACTTTGCCTTAGGAGAACTGTTGGCTATACTTAAATTTTTTTCCCTAGATTATCTAAAGAAGTTGTTTTATAAAACTGCTTATTTCAGTTAACTGACTGCTAATATGGAAAATTATTCATGATGTGCTGATAATATGTCTATACCTTTACAAGTTCAGGCTGTGAAACAATCTGATTTCTCCTTTCAAGTTGGAGAAGGAAGGTGCCATATATTTTGTGTTATTAGTGTGTTATAATGGTTGCTTATTCTTTGGTGGTTTTTTTGTTGGCTATACTAAGCAAAATTAGTATATTAAATTTGTCAAAAAAATGTTTATACAAAGATATTAGTCTAGCATTATGTACTGAATATTTACTACAGCTAACTGTAGTTAATGCTTTAGAAACTGAACTGCCACCTCCAACCCCTGTAAGCCATAATTACTGAATTTGATACAAAGACAATACTCTTTCATTAGCTTTATATTCACTGGAAGGGCAACTTAGTGATTGCAAGTGCTAGGAAAACAAGATGTAGGTCTTTGAACTTTAGAAAAGAATATTGTTTAGCAGAGCCGTAACTTTCTGTGTTTCTCCTAGTAACTTCACTAGATAGGTTTACTGCATTCCGTTTTCTTCTCAGGAAAATGAGACTAGTTCAGGCAGATTTTAAAACTGCTTATCTCCATTCAGATTTAGCCAGAGGTGTTGGAATTTTTTTTTCTTGAAGTACACAACTGAAAAATATTTTCAAGCACAAACTTTTAGTAGCAAACTGTTGATGAAGGAGCAAAATTATTTTATCAACTTGCTTTCCAAATCCAAACAAAAATACATACAACTTCTATGTCTGCAATAGTATGGTTGCAGCCACTTCACCTATTATTGTTGATCTTTGTTTTGTTTTAATCCTAGATCAAATGAAGACCTCTGAAAAAATGAAAAAGGAAAAAATGGGTGTCTTCAAGGTCCTAGAAGAATCATCAGATTCTAATGCAGAGTGTGTGTTTTAATGTGCAAATGTGGTCTGTAGTCTTACAGGACAAACATATGACTGACATCAGATCTTCAGAGACATCACTTAGACATACTGATCCTTTATGCTGACTTTCTTTCCTTGTTCAAATCCCTCATGTTCTTTCACTGAATTTTAACATGTTCTACAGTATAATGCAGGTGATAGTTTCACGTTGTAGCTTTGGTAGGCTGTCATAAAAAATTAGAAAAATAAGCATGTTTCACATTAGCAGCTAGCTCTTGTGATCAGTGGTAAAAACCAGCAGATTTGTGTTAAAAAAAAAAATCTTCCTGTGGAAGTCCTAAAACAGGTTTCGTTTTTTATATAGTGTCAATTATGGTTTTATTTGGAAGTGAGAGAACATGTACCTTTGTTACAGCCAATTGTGTAGCTTCTGTTTTTAACTTCTGCAAATTATTTTGATTAAATAAACATCTTGTTTGTCCTAAAGGTGTTGTAGGGGTTTTAGCATAGCTTCTTAAGCTTTGCTTATTTATGTTGTGTCCATTAATTCACTCTTTCCCTACTCAATTAGCACATTAGCCAATCTCACACATTTAAAAAAACAAAACAAAACCCACCAACCAACCAACCAAAAAAACCCACAACAAAAGATGAGTCAAAAAAACCCTAAATTTTTCTGGTGCAAGCATTATTTCTGTATTGACTGGTGCATCAGCTTGCACACCTAAGGTGCCTGTTTGAAGGGAGCTAAGGGTACTGGAAGGGGAGAGTGCAGAATGACTCTGGGGGTGTGTGCATGACCGAGGAGTACTTTCTGGGAAGGGAGGGTTTGAAACTACAGTGAGTCAAAAAAGACAGGCGAAGGATATTACTTGTATATGTAGCCTCTAAGAGCCAGCTGTAAGCAATGGTTTTCAACTTGGGCATCAGGTGTCTTTCAAACTTTTAATTCTGGTTTGTGAAAATGTCATCTAGGTGTAGTTAGAAGCTGCAGTCATGGAATTGCAGCTGGAGCTGTCAGAGTTGCAGTTGTGCTAGTCATGCCAAGGCATAGGTAACATGGAATAAAATAAAATCCTACCTAATCTATCAGACTTCAGAAACTACTTTCCAGTCACTTTGATTGTTCTTACTCTCCATCTGTTAGCCTGATTTAGAGAAAGTTAGTTTATATTAGTGAGAGATGTTTATCCTTACTTCCATAAGGGAACAAATAAATGTTAAGTTAATGAGTAGGCTGGCTTTGACCTTTGACTATTGAAAGCCATGTCTTGTTTCTAATTGTTACAGACAAAAGTTTCTGAGTTTACTGTTCAGTTACTTATTAGCCTGAATAATGCAAAGTCCAACATGTGCTGTCTCTGTTACTTAGATTTGCTGAGCTACTATGCTAGTCTCCTTTATGCATTGTTTTATGCTTGTGAAGACCTACTACACGATTTAACAGTTTGTATCTATGTATGATAGATAACATAGTATGTATCTACAATAGTATCTAATGGAATAATTGTAAAAGTTTTAATAATAACTGACATAACTGCTTCCACACAGGCTTACCTAACTTTTTAAGACTGATTTACCCTGCTCAACCTGCACAGCTGCCTGAATGTCACTGCAGGCCAATATGGTGGAAAACAAAAATGAACAAGAGTTTCTATCCAATAGCTAGCACAGCTAGGATTTAATAATAATTGCTGCCTTCCTAAAAATGCATAAACAAGTGTTAATGCTCGTGGTAGCATTAGTGAAATGTAGTCACTGTTTAGCCATGTGTGGAGCTCGATGTTATTTGGAGAGACTTACGCCACAGAGCTGTGGCTGCTTTTCTAGCCCACCTTCAAAAAGCAAAAGCAATGCATGTTTTTTGCTTGCTGCTATAGAGGAGCCAATGTCTGTCCCCTTTTTTTGGCTCCCAAAGTACTGTGAATGGCATTGATCAAAGCAAGCACAGTGCCTTCTTGGCATGACCTTCCGTTTCTTATTCCTACAGTCAAGAGTAATGTTCACACTTGCTATCCACCAAGCTATGAAAGGGCAGTCCAGCATTTGTGTACTTAAGTACAGTATTTTGCCTACAGGCAAAAATCTAGGCCATGCAATGAGGGCTGCTGGTGTTTAAGAAAGCAGCTTTCCTTTGTACCAGTGGGGGGAGATCCACAAGTAAATGCAGTTATGACAATGTGAGGATGCCGGGGGGGGGGGGGGGGGGGGGGGGGGGGGGAATGAAGTTTT